GAGGAGATGTGAGCACACACACCAGGAACAGCACGCACAGAGAAACGCCTTGTCTTAGTGAAAATGAAGATTGTGCAACGGCAGCTCTGCTACATTTTGTAACGAGGTTAAAGGATTCTGTACTGGAGAAAACTTCCTTGGGAAGGAAAAAAAAAGTTTTGGCTAGCTCCAGCATTCCTAACTATTAATATTTCTAAAGCTACAGACAGAGAGGATTTGGGAACTCCAATGAAGATATTAACAAAAAATTGGCTTTTGCACTTAAAGTTTGTACCATTATCTAGTTATAGCTGGGAAAGGTTAAAAAGCAGTCTCTTCCCCAAAGGGTGAGAAAAATACGGTGGATATCTCTATTATAAGATACTTAGCCATCACTTATGTTTGTGTCTTAAGAAAGTAATTAGTCTCTAGAAGGTGATTAAAATTTGATAAATGACCACAGATTCTTGAAGACGTCTTTCAGCTGGTCTTTATCGCTTGCAGCTCAGACACTAAGCTGTCATCACATTAGCCAAAGGTGAGGGATTTTTTTGTTTGCTACAATCATAAAACTTTCACTCTATATTAAGAGTTATCAGAACCAGGAGCCTTGAATACAGATTTTAATAACAGATGAAAATTTCAAATCTATGCCTAATGCCCATCTGCTTCTGGAAGACAGTAAGATGATTCAAAGCTGGTAATGTAATCACAAAAGTCTTTTCCTAGCCAATGAAAAAAACCTGGATACAAGCTGTCAAAACAACCTCCTCAGCCATGTATTTTCTGCTGAATGGAAAACATACCTTACGATCTGTTTGCATTCTGTTCAAACTCTTGAGGAAAACAAGAGATGCTGTTTATGTATTTTATCACCTCTTCTGTGTACAATATATTCTGAAATAATTCTATTTATAGACATCATACACAACAGTACAACTCCACTAAGAATATAGTTCAGAAATAAGAGCTGTAAACTATAGCTGCAAAACACACAAGCTAGATTACCAGAAACAAAGTATTTCTATTTCTAACAACACCGTGGGTTCCTAAAGTGAGGGTGGCAGTATTAGAAAAATGCCAGCTTTCCAGGTCTTCACTTTTGTGCTGCTTCTCCTTTACATTGACAAGTACCAGAAACAACATTATCCCTTGCTTCCCTTCAAAGTTGTTCTGTACTTCATGATGCAGGAATCGATCGTGCAAGATAGCATTCTCAACTCTTGACAGTAGTCCATACTCTAGGTTTCAAAGGAAAGTCCAAGAAACCTTGTGAAGGGAACGCAATGTCTTTGAAAAATGCAGCCCCTAAGATACTCCACCTAATTCGCCAGACCTATAGATGTTCTTACTGCTATACTATTACTTCATGTTTCCCTCTTAAAAAATTATGGGGGAAAACACCCCTATGTGCTAACCCAGTGAGCGCAGGTGCCTATAAATACCTTCACTTTTTTAAACTCCTGTTTTACTCTTGACTTCAAAAAAGGACTTCCCTACCTGCCTAAGACTGTGCAGCAGGTCTAGGTATGTTGGTCCAGTGACTCCTGGGACAGTGACTCCACAGGAGATGGTTGTGATATCCCTGCTGGGTTACAAGAAAGTCAACCATTTCATCGATTGCACATCTGGATACAGCTGCTGCTCCAATTCCCCTCAATTTTCCTGAATATAACATGGTGGAACTGCAATGGCAGAGGCTGCCCCGGACCTTTGCTAGAACTAGCATCCTACAACCAAGGAAGCACATGGTTTTCACTATCTGCTCAATGCAGTATAACTGGTATAACAATCTGATATATGGCAGCTGGTGTGGGCTGAGTTCCCTTGCACTATTATTAAATATTGCTTACAGTGAAAATCTTCAAGGTGACTTGAGTTTGGTTGTGGTCCTTGAAAACCTCTCCTCACAAACCCATTTCTTTGGCTCCAAAAAAATGAGGTTGATGATCAGAACACACTTAAGCCCTGGTAATGCACTGGGGGCACCAACACTAGTTAAACACTAGCTCAACACTAGCTCAGCTTCTCAGTGACATGCAGGCACTAAAAAGGTGAGTCTTTCTGGCGGACTTGTTAAGCTCTCTTGGAGGCAAGGGGAAGTCCTGATCCAGTCTGAGCATGTTGCAAGGATAGGAAATAAACTTAGAGAAATTAGAGACATAACATATCCTAAGTCTTCCTCATAGGAATGCAGAAAGGAGAAGAAAGGATTAGATATTCAAAGTTGAATAGCAAGAAGTCAGTTCATGGTTGTCACCTACCTCAAATTTCACAGGGTGGTCTTAAATGATGGAAAAGACTCCTTCAGAACTCACCCCATTGCTTAGCAAACAACTGTTTCTATTACAGAATTAAAAAGCCTAATACAAAAGGCCAAGACCAGAAGACAGAGGCAGAACAAATAAGTGTATAACAAACAAAGTATAACAAATGAAAAGACCAAAAATATGCATCTACTCACTATTAGGCCAACTCTCTTTGAACTCACAAAAAATGTTACTATTAACTGACTTGCTAGTTGTCTATGCAAATCATAACTCAGCTTTCTTTAAAAAAGTTTCCAAAAACACATTCAAATATTAATAATATAAAAATGAACCATTTTTATAACAAAAATCTTGATTTATTAAAAACTGGAACTGGTTAAAAATAAATCCTTGACATAAGGTTCTTGTTAGCTTTAAACTGTAAGCATAAAAATACCCTAGAATTATGTTTTGGTATGGATGAAATGTACACTATATAACACATAAAAAGAGCCTTGACTTGCTGCTATTATTTTTAATTAGGATCTCTAGCATGTATGGTTTTACCTTCCAACACCAATTCAAATTTGGGAAAAGGGAGGGTCTGACTCTCCAAACTCATGGGACTGGCAATTCCATGGCTCATGCCTTGGAGCACTAATGCATTTTACATTAGCTCTAAGCATCAGGAAATCCTGGCTTCTGGTGCCAAGAAGTTCAAAACGATAATGACACACATCTGAAAACTAGGATTCGCCATTCGACTGCCAGTATCTATTCTATCAAACAATTCAGTCCTGCTCTATTGCAAATAGGACAGAACATTTGCAGCAGTCCACACTGTTTCAAATTAGACTGTGTGTCTGGACTGCTGATAAATCCATGGAGCAATCATCTCGAAAAAAAGTCTTCCTAGAAGACGGAATTCTAATGAGAAATCTGAATATTTACAGAGGCTATCATCAACGGGCAATTACCAAGTTTGTCATTAGCCAAACTGCAGTTTTCTCTGTTTCTTTCTTGAGGTGAGCCTCCAAAATGCCTTGAGACATTACAAGAAAATTCTGCAAATACTTAATTTAACTAGGTATACACCAGATATATTTTGCTACTCGTTTTAGTTGGAATACAATCAGATTAAAAAGCAGCTTACTAATGTAACTCCCTGATAAGGGATTGAAATTTGAGGTTGAGTGATCTACTTTAACTTTTACCCAAGGACACAAGATTTTTTTTTTCCCCAGATGAAAGCTTTCTGGCAAAACAAGAGCATCTTGACTGGGGCTACATCTAAGTTTATGGGAAACAAAGGAGTCTGCAAGCTTCACCCTACACACCTTCCCCCTCACCTCCAGCGGGGGCATGAAGATGATTGGGACCACATACCCACACAATGTTCTGGTTAACACAGAAATCTGTCATCTCCTGGGCTGTATGTCTATTTTAAAGTTGAAAATGGTAAGTCACATAGTAAGACTCCAAGAGTAGCATATAGCTCATACTTCCCTCAGTTTCTCTATCACCTGCATGCTCTGAAACAGAGGTTGCGCATTTGGAAGCTATCAGCGCTAGTATCCCCTTCCCAAACATAGGCTCCACGCAAAGGGTTACACACTAATCTGAACTTGATCCTTACTGAGTATAAACACTTCCTTTTTTCAACAGGATCCATCTCTTAAGTCCTACTTTTTTCCCTGATCTGAGCATTTTAGTTATTCTAATTTGTTCTTAAAAATGTTACTACCATTCCACCCTTGTTCAGCCTTCTGGTGCATCACAGGTAGAAAACACACACAAGTGTAACTGTCCACTGCCCTTTAACAATTAAAAGAAGCTGAAGTAAGGGAGAAAAATCTTTTTTTTGCTTCAGCTGTACATACTGTGAACTACTTATATTTTACAAAAGGTGACTAAAGCTGTAAGTGGTGAAAATAGCATTCTTCCTTTGGAAAGAAACAACTTCAACCACAGGGCTGGGCATGTCCAGATAGCATCCTGTTCAAGTGAATTCTGTACCTTGACTGTAAAGTGTTTGAAATATTTCCTGCTAATGAGTGCACATAATTCACGCTCTATAAAAGGCACTTCCTAAACGCTACAGGATCTATGAAGATTTCATTCTTTGAAATGAGTCTTTTCTATTTTGAACTCGCGGGAGAAGTCTACTCAGAAATTCAAACAGGAATAGATTGCTACCATTCAGAGAAGGAGAGGTCATTGACAAAAGGGGAATTCAGAGAAACATCTCCCAGAAGTCAAGCCGACATCTTTTGCTCACTAGCAAATTTTCAAAGTAAGTGCCATCAGTAATCTAACTGAGAATATCTTGGGAAGACTTAGGTTAAGGGGGAAAAAAACCCAAAAAACCAAACCCACGGAAATAGTTTTGGCAGCTGAGAAACTTATTTGTAACAATTTAAGACTACTGGAAACAAAAGTCTTCTAGGTAATCAGCATCTCAAGCCTCTCTCTAGCTATTTCCCAACAACGTCTGAATAGTATTTGAGCAATTGTCATAATGTGTAGTTAGTCGTGTGTTCTAGTTTTACTTTTCTATTCTGCAGCTTTTGGAAAGCTGTGATGTATTACAACACATGTTAATAAGTTAAAAGAAAAATGTAATTCAGAAGACAGACTAGAACTGCTTTTTCAGTGTAAACCATTCGCACTCCTGTAAGGGCAAAAATTCTTGAACAACCCAAATGAAGCCCTATAAAGAAACGTGAATAGCCATTGTTGGATTATATGCATTCTTTACAAACAGCAATTTACCTGCTAGAGAAGGGATGCTGCCCAACGAGGTCTCCATTCTGAAGATGGTAATCACTGAAGAAATCCGGACTCACTGCTCCATCGGGGGCTATTAGGCCATCTATAAAAACAAGAAAGATACAGCGACTGTATGAAGGAGCACGACTTCAGGGCAAGTGGGCAACACAACCTGTGCTGGTTTGTCTTAGGAATTCATTAGCAACTTGCAATATTTCTGGGAGGAATGTCAAGCAACAATAATACTGAAAAACAGCAACTTCCAATTACAAAAAGCCTTACTGGGACTCCAAGTAGCTCAGCCTACTGCCCTGAAAAAAGCTGTACCTAAGAAATACTCTTACCCCTTCTTCCTCAGGCCTGTAAAGGTTATACCAAGACCCATCTTGTCTGACTGTCCTGGTTTTGGCAGGGATAGAGTTAATTTCCTTCCTAGTAGCTGGTACAGTGCTGTGTTTTGGATTCAGGGTGAGAATAATGTTGATAACATACCAATGTTTTAGTTGTTGCTAAGCAGTGCTTACACTAGTCAAGGACTTTTCAGCTTCCCATGCTCTACCGGCTGAGAAGGCTGGAGGTGCACAAGAAGCTGGGAGGGGGCACAGCCAGGACAGCTGACCCAAACTGGCCCAAGGGACATTCCATACCATGTGACATCATGCTCAGTATATAAAGCTGGGGGAAGAAGAGGAAGGGGGGGGGGTGAGGGGGGGGGGGGGGGCAAGCAGCTGTGTGGTGCTTAGTTGCCAGCTGAGGTTAAACCACAACACTGACCCATCATGAAGGTGAGCCCAGAGAAAAAGTAATGAGAAGGGTCAAACATTAATCTGGGCCAGCAGCATAAAAGTAGAAGAGCAGCAAAGGTCTTAATTGTTCAGACTCTACCCTTCACCACTGTATCTCCTAAAACTGGTTAAGAAAAACAGGAAAGCAACTTCAAACCTATTTCGTTCATCTCCCCCATATTTTAATGTCATCTAGCTATTTCCTAAAAAGGTGGTCTTTTCACATGACATCCTCTCAAGAACATAGGTTACACTTTTCTTTTGCTTCCTTTATATTAAAACACCGGCATATGAAGATGCAGGCATTTGTAAAGCCAGTAGTATTCCTTAAAGGCTTCACAGTCTCTGCTTGCTTTATAAGGAAGAGAAGAAAATCAGGGCCTACCATTTTCCCTCTGCTACATCAGTGTAACTCCAGAGTGTTTCTGAAGTAAAGTCAGTGAACTGACCCCAGCTGAATGAGAGCCCAGCTTAACTCTTTCCTGTTCCTATTCACAAAACACATTTCTTGTTAATATTAAGGGCACAGTTCTTACTTGGTAACTAGTATTAGGCTCTAATCAGATAAAACAAGCTATTTCATTAAAACAGACCCTACATCAGTTCATCTCCATTACTGTATGAAAACGATCCCAGACTTGCAGTGCAGAAAGCATCCCAATAAAAACAGGGCAGAAACAGGTACATTCAGACTGATACTTTAATAGTTTAACAGAGGAGAGAGAGAGAAAGAGATTACTAATGACTAGGAAGTTACAAATGCCATTCCACTTTAAAGAAAGAGAGATAAGATCCAGGGAGTCACAGGCCACTTAACTTAACCTCTGTGGTTTCAAAACTACTAAAACTGCCTGTGCAGGAAGCAGTGGAAAGTTACTTACAGACACAAGAGCTTAGAGATGACGACTCAGGCATTCAAACAAATCTCCCTGTGCTTTATGAATTTACCTGATGTTTTTTGAAGATAATATAGTGACAAATGATAAAAGGAATAGAATTGACACATCTAGATTTCTAACAGACATTTGATGAGGTGCTACGGAGATTCATTTAGAAGATAATACCTCATGGGAAAGTGACTGAATACAACGCAACAGATTGTAAATGAAAAATGCTAGCCATGATCAGACTACATTTTAGCAGCATAAGATAGCTGTACATGGCTATATTCTAATTGTATACATGTGTATACAGTATGTGAAAGGGTATTACTTGACAAGCGAGTAATCTGGCACAGATCAATATTACTGTCTTTCAGCATGTTCAAGCAAGACATGAGTGCTCTGTGATATCGTATGGACGCAAAATGACCAAAGAAGGAGGAAAGTTCAAATGGCTATTATTAACACTTGTGCCAAGTTTTCCTATCTCACCACCTATTCTGTATTTTTCACAGAAAAGAAATGAGGGGGAACATTAGAACTTTTATACCTGCAGCACTGCAGATCAAAACCAGTCAATTTAAGTGACTATGTATTTTAAACAGTCAAGTTTGGTTAAAACTTATTGGAAAGCAGAGAGACATTAAAAATAACACCTATCTTTATATTAATAAAGAAAGCACTACATTTTAACTCTGAGGCTAGAGCTACCACTACTTAAAGTGTCTTCAATCAAGAGTGCTACCATTCAAACCATAACACAGTTATGGCTCACATGAATTTAAAATGAAAGCACATGGATAGCATCAACTGCATATAATATGATTACACAGTTAAAGGACATCTGTCATGTACATTTCAACATAAATTAGTGTTATGTACTTTCAGAGCAAGAGAGACACCAAGCTCATGAAGGTAACTTCAGAGATTCTACCAAGTTTTTCATGTAGGTTTATATCACTATGCAAGAGAGATGTTGGTATATCCTTGCAATAAGGAACTCATCTTGCCATCAGTGAACTCAAGAACTATTATGGCTTGTATGGGAGGGGCACTTGTACTGAGTGTCAGCCATCAGTGCAGGTCACTTCTAAAATTATCAAATTGAAATACAAGCATTTAATTTCTGACTGCACAAAAATTTGTATTTTTGTTATTTTTTGACTAAGTAATGTTCTGACCTTCAGAAACCCAAATGCCTACTCCAATTGGTACAATAATCCGCAGCCCTTTCAGAGGAATATTATGTCCTCTCTGGACACATCTCTAAAGTATAAATCTAGCAGGCTTCAGAAGCACACCATTACTGGCACTTGTCAGAAGGAACCTGAGAAGCGAATCTGTATTTTGAATATAATCACAAACTCTTATACCTTTAAAAACAAAAGCACTTTTCAAACATCTGCAGAACATATCATTGGAAATCTGCCTCTCCTTCCTGGCCAAACAGCAATTCCAACACAAAAATCTTTGTTCAAATAACATTAAGCCTGTAACATAAATGATTAAAAGCCAGGAAATTCAGTGTTACTGGTGCCACTCCATCTCCTGATCACACTATCGGGAAAAGAAATAGCCCTATGAAATAAGCAAAGGTTTATTATTAAGACCTGTAAAGGGGAGACTACAACAGGCATGCTGGCACATCTTTAACTTAGGAAGCCCGAAGGAGACTTGATGTAATAAAAGACCCTGGTACCATACAACACATGGCTCACACTGCTAACCTTGTAGGTCTAATAGAGCACGATAAAGCTACAGGATTCAAAGGGAAAAACATACCACTAAAAAGGCAAGTTGCTATGGCTGACATATGTAATCAAAAGTAGAAGAAAAAGAATCCTTAAGTTCTGATATCCTATGAGAATAATTTTTGAAATGCTACTGAGATCTTGCACAACTATTTTCTCACAGCAGCTACAAGTAAAGCTTATGGGGTTTAGTGGTTTTGTTTTTCTTATTACTATTCCTGCAAATTCATCCAGAGTCATAGAGTTTTGTGACTCATGCTTCATAGCAAAGGACTGGACACTTATGTGGAAAATAAAAAACCACAGACACAAACCCAGCAATTAAAAAAAAAATCCATGGGCACACAGTCATCCAGGAGTTTGAAAAGGCTATAAAACCACAAGTTTAAGAGTATAAGCCAACTCCTAGTTATGAAAAGTTATGAAGACATTTAACCGGTGGGCAAATTATTTCATGATTGTCTCCTGCAGAGTTTTTTTGAACCTTCCTCTGAAACAGCTGGCAATATTGGACTAGATACATCAGTGTCTTCATGTAGTATGGCAACTTCTATTTTCTTAGTAACTACAACATCTTTACAGAAGGAGAGAGACAGAGCAGATTCCACTTGAGATCCCCCAGAACTGTGCCATTATGCACTCCTAACAGGATTAAGCAAAATGAGGAATGTCTTTTTTTCTTTAGAAAATGTATTAGGGTTAATCTCAAATAAGAGCATGACTCTCAAGAATAATTTAGGGGTTTTTTTTAACTAGCTTCTTCAAATTATCAAGTAATAAAACTTTTTAATATGAGGAACTAAAAAAAAGTATTTACAGAAGAGATCTACATGCTTCCCTAGATATATGATAGCAAAAATCATACAAACAGATTAGCTGAAAGTCACGGAATCATCGCCTCTGCTAAGGAACCTGAAAGTTCGATGTGGCTCAACTGAAGTCTTTCATCAAGATCTGCAATAAAAATTCCCTTACAAGAACTAACACACAAGGCAGAACAAAATTAAGCATCAAATCCCATAGCTATGAATTTAACAGGGATGAGAAAAGGTTTGTGTTTGCAAAGCAAACAAGCTATGGACACAAGAAATAGGTGTGAAGAACAAGGCCAGGCCACCTTTATTCAAATCAATCATCATAGTCCATTAGCTCTCTGAGATAGGTCTACTCATATTTCTGAAGACCTGTAACACTTCATAAGATCATGGATATACAGTACTCAATACACCTTTAACATCCTAACAAGGACAAGCCCATCCCTGGCTAGCATGCATCAATGCTGCTCCCAGTGACGCAAAAGTGTAACTGTCCCGCTGGTTTGAGTCAGCTGATTCTCTCTACAGCCCCAGGTCAAGCTCCCGTTCCAAACACAGAGGTAGCAATCCCAGTCCTGAATACAAATATATGCTGCCTTACCTGCATTGTAGTAGAGGTCAGGTCTTTCCAGAATATCCCCTTCATGGATGTAGGGCTCAATACGATCATCACCATACAGATACTGCTCACTGTCATCCATCTGCCGACTCTCCACCATCTCCAGCCACTGAGAGTTGTGCCATCGAAATTTCTCGCTCTGGATTTTTTTAGCCCATTCCTCATCATATTCCTGTTAAAAATCACCACACAGTATTTTAGGATGAAGTATAGACAAAGCTGTTTGGTTTAACAGGAAATAGCAGAGGAATTTAACGTCAGTGAAAGATGTAAGTTTCAGGGCTCAGTGACTTAAATCCTCTATTCAGTTTGCAGAGTACTTTGAGCAAACAAGGGAATGATTTTGCAAGCGCTAGGCATTATTCTGGTTTTGTACATGCAGCAGTACAATCTTCCCTTCATGGTTTGTAACTTTACACCATCCAGAAAAAACTCCTGCTTTGAGCAGGGAAGTTCCATCATCATCAGTCACCTCATTTGGTTTATCAAGAAGAGCCAATTACTGCCAATTTTCAGGGGGATTTCAGTAATTAATTACTAACACTGGCCAAATACCCTGTACGTCCTCATTAGATGAGCATTCACTAGGACAACTAGTTACTAGAAAATACAACATAAAAGGTTGTGATAAAACCAATAAATCTTTATTTTGTTTCATGAGCTCCAATAAGACAGGATTTAATTTTCAACTTCTTGTCAAATTTTATAATGGCTTTCTATGTTTAATATTGAATACCTACAAATGTTGTGTACCATTTTTGTGATAAAGAGGATATGGGAATCCAAGATACAAAACTAAAATCTGAGAGGAACTTCTCCAGAAAGCTGAGGAAAACAGGATACAGGTTCTGGCCACTATGGAAACAAAACGTAGGCATGAAATTTCAATCTGGATTACAGCCTAATTGCACTCAAGTGATGTGATATTCAATATAAAGGACCATCAGAAGGAAGTGACATAGCCTATGGTCACTGCAATCAGCTGTTTAGAAGGCTCTTCTAAACAGACCAGACTATGTGGGCTGTTGATTACCACTGAGGGAACAGAGACCTGTGGATAATACTCAGTTTCTCAATATTACTGGAAAGATAGGGCACAGCTAACAATAGGAAACTCATTAACATATGAAATGTGCAGATGTTATCAATTTGGGAAGATTCGCAAATAATGCACCACGGTTAGTACTTTTTTAATCACAGGATTGTGAACAAGAATAACATTCATAACCAAAGTGTTTCTACTTGTGGGAAGAAATATCCTCATGAAACAGGTCCTACTTCACTGTCTTCTAACCTAACTACAAAGGAGAGAAAAATTGAAAATCATTTCTTAACTGTCACGTTGGTTAACACATGATCTAGTCAGACTTTCCTTGGAGATCTAGCTAGAATAGTTTAAGGTTTTTAAAATCTGTTTTACTTAGCCCTGAAGGGAACACTCTTCAGAGTGTTCACACAGTTAGTGACAATGCCTTGGCTGCGGAAGTGGTAATTTCTTAAACTGTTCCAGCTAGACATGCAAAAGGAGATCTGTCTATATCCAGAGGTCAAAAAATAGCAGTGAAGACAGAGTAAGTTGGCTTAGTGGCTCAGTAGCTCAGGTTAAACTTCTGAAACCCCTATAGACCAAACTTGAGTTTTTAAACTGACTTAATATTCAACCTACCTTGTCTTCACTGCTATTAACCTGACATAGGTAACACACTCTCTACCCTGTGCCTTTTCTACCCTTCTGACTGGCCGATAACACAAAAACCAGCTGGCCCTGTCATTCTGGCGGAGGCTTCTCTGACATCACTAACAAGTATCTAGAGCATTCAAGACTTCATGGGGAACCATGTCACATTGTGCAACCACAAACCCTTACTCTATGGCAATGGGTTTTTAAACTTTGTTTTACTTAGAGAAATGACAAGTTTGTTTCTCTTGGCTTAAAGCAGAATATAAACTCCCTTTTGAGGGGACATCCATGCAAGTACCTGCACATTTGGGGCTCTGATCAGTCTGTGGCATTATTCTAAATTTCTCTAATTCCACCTCTGATCAACACTAATTACTAGACCTTTCTAATTCCCCTCCACACCATCCTGGCACACAAGCAGTCCTGTTCAAAACCTGGTCTCCTGTATAACCTCCATACACAGAGCAGATATCACCTGTGGGATCTATAGATATTCTCAGTGCTCAGTGGCCTCAAGCAAAATTCCAGGTTTCTGTCAGCCATACAGTAATGCAGCAACCTTAGGGAGGGAGAAAGAAAAACACACAAAACACCCAAAACATCAAAAAACAACAAACACACCTATGCCTCATACTGTTTGGAAAAAGAACATCTGCTATTCCTGCCTCTTGATCTTTTCCCCCCCACTTCCACTCTCAATTAAAAGGAAAGGCTAGAAAGAACAATGCAAAACAAGAGTTTCCCTGGAAAAAGCAAGCTCATCACTGAGAATTATAAAATGACCCATAAAAAAAGTGAAAGGGCATGACTTTCAATGACGACATCTGACCAGCATCTTGGAAACATCTCCTTTGTTGCATCTGCCAGAGCTAAACTGTGGGCTATCTATTACGTCAGCCTCCAGCAGTTGTGAATTACTTACAAGCTTTAGAGAAACACCTTGTAACTGCCAGAGATCATACTGCAGTCTTAAGAAAACTATTCCCAGAAATCATGACTGCAAAGAAGTGGGGGAAAATAAACAAATTTAACAAACAGCAAATTAGACTAATATGTGGGAAAGTTGAATCCCTTTTACATTACCTTGTTTACCTTTAAAAGTTCTCAAAAGCAGAAAGGCCAGCAGCTAAATTACCTAATTCACATTTCCCATAAATGCACTTTGAAAACATTTTAAACTTCCCAAAGTTACAACCCCAGATGAATCCCACTTGCCCAACACTGCTGCTCCATTCCACACCACTGACTGAACATGCTGAACATCTGTCACAAGTAGACATAAACTTCTTATATCCTTCTAAAAAAAAAATCAGTTAACATTTCTCAGATCCTAACTGATTTTTTCTTCAGACAATGACAACAGGCCAGAATATTCCTATATATTCTACATTTCCCATCCTATATTAAGAGGCTTAAAACTCCCAGCTATTTTACCTCAATCATTCATCTAAATTTTGGAAAACAGGATTAGCAACCCAATGGCAAATTAGCAGCTGTAAGATTGAGCATATCTACACATTACTTAAAAATCACAAGCTATCTGTTCAAGCAGTTTGGCTACTTTGTTACATTTGTACCTTGCATTTCACTATGAATGAGCAACAAGAACAAAGACGTGACCGTACCAGAATCAGATCAACGATCAGTTTTGCCAAGAGTTTCATTCTGGCAGCAATCCTAGAAAAGGATTATTTGCAATGATCTAGAACGATTTACATAAATGAACTTTTTTTGTGCTGAGGTTAAGTACTGCTAGATCAGGAATACATCTGTAGATTTTCCACAGAAGTGTGCAGAAACACCACTGGGTAAATGATTAATGGAATAACATCAGAATGGAAGAAAAGCTGTAAATGCAGGTCTACAGCCAAAAGGCACAAAGAAATCAAATTAAAGACGTTTAGAGCAAAACAATTCCCTAAAACACAGCAAGTCCTCCAGTAATTATATTTTGAGCTTTTTAATAAAACTTTTTTTTGTGTGGATTTTTTAATTTTGGTTGGGTTTTGTTTTTTAAACACATGAAGCACACCTTCTTTACTAAGGAATTCCTGCAAAAATGAAACCGAAAACTAAACAACATGGAGATACAAACATAGCTTTGTGCCCTCCAGTCCTTTTAAATGTTAGGCTACTAGAAAAGCGTCGGGTGGGGGAACAGGAAGGTGGACAGAATGTGCCTATTCTCCAACCCCCTGTCCGTCCATCCCTGCCGCCCCCCCGAGTGTTGCATGTTCAGAAACATAAAAGGAGGAATCCTGAAGGTTGATTTTATTCTCTTTGGAGCTCCCTGACATCACTGTTTTTAACATTCGGTTTCCATAAATCCAAAAGTGTCATAGAAGATGTATGGTTTGACTCTGCGAGGAATGTGCCATCCTTTTTGAAGTTCTACTTCCAACTTTGTTTACTACTGAACCATTGAAATATTATGAAGCGTTAACTGGCCTATTATCAGAGCGTGTCTGTTCCCTATCAGGGGTCCCCTTTGTCACTGGCTTCCGTCACACCTTGTATCTGATTAACACACTATAGGATAACATAGAGCTACACAGATCTGCTTTGTGTTCTCTCACAGCTGATGAAAAACAGATTTTCCTTTTCACTTTAATGTGGTTGCCCTTTAATTGGGTCTGTAATAGGGTTCATTTGATGCGATTCCTCATACTAAACTAAAACTGCTATACAGTAAGTAGAATGCTCATTATGTTCAAGGCTGTAGTTGGTGATATGTTACATTCTTCATTATTTAACCATCCCTAAAACACACAGTTTACATGAAAGGTTAAATTAACCATTTATTAAGAAAGAAAAGATTTATCTTGTCTAGCTATCCAAAAGTTAGGCCTGTCATTTGAACTATGTGCCTCTATAAACCAAGGAGAGAAACAGATGTTGTGGATCACCTTCTGCAGGTGTCTATGACACCTACCTCAGGGTAAGTACCACCAGAGGGCAATTCATTCACAGGCAAAAAAAATCCTTCTACCACTTACACCTGTGCAACCTACAGTCACTTCTTCACAATCAGGTTCATCACTAATTAAATTCTGATGGGAAGCTAATAGAAACCTGTGATATGAAACTAATGGCAAGGCAGAGAAAAGAGTAAGCATTAATGCCCCCTAAATTTAGGTGCCTACATAAAATGCACACCATCCACGGGGTTCCTATATTGTCAATAGCTAAAGAGAGAAACCTTTTTTTTTTTCCCTTTGGAGGAATCTAAGGTATCTCATTGGCAAGCTGTTATGAAAGTAACAGAGATCAGTGGTTTGGCTCACCTTCCTAGTCTTACAACTCCAAAGAGCAAGCACCAATGCTAGAAGGAAATCTGTCCAAGATTGTTTTTGTCTTCACATATCCTATCAGGACATGCCTACCCTGTCTAATGCTGCCTACAGCGTGGTTATTCTTCTAGTCCAGGTAAAGCCCTTTCTGCTGGGCACACACTCTTTGCCACAAAAACCTACCAGCACCAAAGCAGACTGATTGCAAATTTAACAATGCAGAATTTTATCAGTGAAAACACGTCAACAGTTCAGCCTGCAGCCCCGCACCCTAGCTGCAATTCTGCCCTCCTCTCTGTATTCATGATTGTTAGAGGATAAGAGGGGAACAAGAGACACCACAGAAAGGGGGAGTCTTGACAAGTGAAGGGAGAACCTTTTCCCCTGGAGTGACTACAGCACTCTTCATGGAAAGAGGACACCAAGCTGGAGTCAAAGGTTATCTATTTTCAGAGTATGCTGCCTATTCGAATAAAGCCCCCACCAAATCCCTGTGGTCTGCTCTTCCTTGATTCTAAGAGAGCTGGCCAACATCTTCCACAGCTGGCCCCAAATCCCAGAGTTTTTTTATTCCTGCTTCTTATGTGAAATTCCAGCATTTTCAATACAGAGGATTTGTGTCAGGGCACTTAGCTAACAGGGAAAGATGCACACCGTTCATTAACACAAACATTGTTTGGCATTCATTACAAATACTTGGGGCAAAGAATGAGGGCTGGAAAAACACCTTAGGCATGAGGCCCTTCCTGAACCACATGGAAAATGCTGTAGCTATCTAGAAGACGTTTTGCTTCTGCAGGAAGCATAATAATCCACTCTTGATCATAAGGGAAACAAGATGGTACAGCAGGCCTGGATTCAAAGCTGTAAAAACACTGAATAGGAAAACGGGGGGAAGTGGGGGAGGGGGAAGGCTCGGACTACACAGTCCAAGGATCTGGTTATGGTTAATTAAATATCCTTTGACTAAATGAGGAAAGTCATTTAACTGCCGTAAGACTGAGCTAGAAACAGAAAAAGGATGAGAAACCTGAAAGATAAACAACCCCCTCAGCTCTTGACAATATTGTCAGAAGTGAACAGAGTAAAACCATCTTGAGTAAGCTGACGTTTCTTTCCACAAGCTTTGAGTTGCAGGTGTCCAGGCTTCTGAGTCAGAGGAAAAGGGAGCTTCATTTACTTGAGACTCCTACAGCAGCTGTTGATTCCAGGCTTTTAACTGAGCCATGCGACTTGTCCCGCTTTAGGTGTACAAGTACACTAAATGAGCTGCTTGGTGTCAAGGCTCAGCACATGACATGAGACTGAAGCATTCCTAAATTATCAACGCAGACTTTCTTTTCAACAAAAGGGATCTCTCACATCTACCAGTGCAAAGCCGAGACTCCCCAGTACATACTATGCTAAAGCAGCACATCTGTTTCAGTTCATCAATGGCAGAGTCCAGCCAAGCTATATTAAACAAATCATCACTAGTGTAACATTTCCATAATTTCTGTGACAATTACTTTAGTACAGAAAGCAAATCTCCCCTAAGGCTTATAAGGCATCTGATTTTCTTCAGTGTTATTTCAATCACACTATATAGAGCTTATTGATGAGTGAAAGAAGCATTTGTCTCCCCGAGAAGAAATTACTTTCAAATCTCTTTTCTCCAACATCTAGTTTCTGATTTACATCAGAGGAACTAATCCTGTCAGCATGTATGGAACAACAAGACTGAAAACTTAAGTTTTTCTTGTTGTGGATTTAGCACAGATAAGAAGTTTCACCGATCTTAGAGACTGTCTGTTCAGACACCTCAGAAGGCACTGGTTGTGTAAAACTGCCACACAACCAAAAACCTGTGTTTACAGGCTGCTTTACCATATCATCTGAGCTGAATGGCAAAACACCTATCAAGATCTGAGGTTCTGATAACTTACTGTTTCATATTTTCTCCCATCACCATCTAGAACGTGTTGCCTTTTTTGCCTGTGATTTTTGGTACTGGGAGACAATGTGCAACCAGCTTATGGCATTGCCAAGAAAGCAATCAATTAGTGGTTCTCTCTGTCTTCCAGAAAAGAAGGCATATTGTGCTTCCCGTTCCCCACAGGGGCATGGTGTTAGTTATGGTTTATGCAACTTATAACCCAACAACCAGGTAATAAAGCTAAAAAAACCTTCTCAGAAAGGGAACTCTAACTTACCAGTGAACACCATTCTAAGTGTGGCACTGCTCCACAACCACAGAAAAAAATAATTTATCAGCATGCAAACTACTCTCGGTATGTGCTTGATATCTTCTCCCCTATCCCCAGTAACAGCAGTACCACATCATTTCCTCCCTTTATTCCTCCTCAAGGCCCTAGAAGTTCTATCCAGTGCTTCTTGCAAGTTGAAAAGCCTTCCTCATCCACTATCATAGCACTCCTCATTTATTCACAGCTAGCAAAAAGATTACCTCTTTTTAGGGAGAAAAAAAAGCCAAGTATATTTTACTCAGATGTTAATACTGAATACGAAGCTATGTCTTAATGTATTTATTCTTCCAGATTCTATAAAATAAATGTTGCTTAATAATATTACTAATATAATTTTTCAGTAACTAGGTACTACTATGTACCACGTTGTAAAGCTTCCCCATATGAACAAATCAACGCCTGAGACACTTGGAAATTGCACTGGCCCCAAGATAAAATAAGCGTTGGAAGCACTCAGATTGTCTGGCCTCACCCAGAAGATAAAAATCTTTCTACTGTTTCCACTGGAGATGTCCCTGGAAATAATTGATCGTGGTAAGCTGAACATAATGCCCATCATAAGTACTAAGTGCAAATTCATCTTAGTCGAAATCTTGCCCTTAACGAATGTCAGCGGCAACTCTTAATGTGGAGCACGATTTTCATTCCATAGCTCCATGAAGCAAAAACAGAGCCAGATAAAAAGGATTCCAACACAGAAAGTGATATACCATTTTACTACTTTTTTTTTGATGAATATTAAATTAGAAGGCATTACTAGTAAGTGTAACAGAAAAAGACAAAATAGACTATAGAATTGTGCAGCGTAAGTTAGGTCTTACGCTATATTAAACCTTTCAGAGAACAAGCTGCAATATGCATAATTCAACTAAAGAAGAAACTAAGTAGATGATAGGAAAAGCATTAAGGTAGTCAAAGACATTACTCTTGACTCATAGTTAAATTCTCTTTGGCTTTAAGATTTAATTTCATGATAGCTACTCTACAATCCAAAAGGATGTACAGTCTGTACAATCCTAAGACACTACGAAATGCTGAAATTTCTTTTTGTCAATAGAAGTCAATCCAATTAAACAGACCAGGATGAATTTTAACAATGAAATGCAACTTTTAAGTGGAATCAGTTTCATAATGTCTTTACTTCAATGAAGAACACCATAGAAAATATTAATGCTTCTATAGTCGAGGATCCCCAGAAGCAGATTATACATGCTAAGAGCTGATAAAGCAACAGCACTTCATAATTTAGTATTCTTTTTTCCCAAGTTAGCAGTTTAATACAAAACAACTGTCCCAAAAGTGTATTGTGATCAACAGATAGTTGGACAAACTAAGTCATGTAGCTAAAGGAAACCTATCTAAGAGTTGAAAACAATACTAAAAAGTTCAATATTATACTGTTTCCCCAGCAGAAAACAACCAGCTTTAGGACCACCATCCACGTTTTCTTTTTGAAGAAAAGAAGAGGAGCCATTTGTTTGGAGAATTAAGAAATAATAAAAGCTTAACATACTTATGTAATGTGATTAATTTATTTAAGTATAAAAGCACTCTTAAAGAGTGTCTGGAGTGTAAAGCTAACTGGTATGAATTTTCAAAGTATATATGCACTTTTTGGAAGTTTGGTACACAGCCTAGATTAATGATTGTCATTGTCCCATGAAAATTCACCTTTTACTTATGTGATTAGAAATGTACACATGAAAAATATTCTCAAATTGCAAGTTGTTGCTACTTAGTTATTTTACAATTATCTCATGTAAAAAGGTTCTTGAAGGACAGATGATTAAAAAAAAAATCACACCTACCGCTATAATATCCAGAGTGTTGTCACAAACTTTGCGAATCTCAGCATTTTTATCATGCATCAGGTCTATAAGATATGCTGGAGCCTCTGGAAAGAAACTGTTAAGGATAAAAGCTGTATTTTTTTCACAGCCCTGGGATCTTCCAACTGCAAATTTCATTATGAAACATAGTCAGAAATTTTCTAACACATGTGTTAAGTTCAGCAGCCTTCCCCCAACCACACTTTTTTTTTTTTTTAAATCACATTTTAAGATACCCAAATATTCTTCAAAATTGCCGAAGAAAAATTACATGCTCCTTACAAAGAAAATACATTCTGATCTGTTACAGGAAATCCATGCACCTAATATTTGAGTCCAAAAGGCATAGATTCTGTGGAATGGTTTAGTCTTTTGCGACTGTTACTTTTGTAATCTTTAGGGACTTTCCTTGTTTTAAAAAAAGGTTTCCAATGTATATGTCTCAAAAATATTGAAGATAATGTTATTTCCACAATAGGTTAATACTAGTCTCATTCAAATTGAATGAGAAAAGCGTTGTTCAAATGTTGGTGCTTTATAATTACAGATATAAAGAGATGCAATTTTTTTTTTTTTTTTTTTTTTTTAAAGCTAGCCACCTAGGAGTCCAAGCAGGAGACAAAGAACAACGTCGCGAATGGTTTCTTGGATATTCCACAGAGCTCAAAGGAAAAAGGACATTAAGAAGTAGACCTTGTATTGTTAGCAAAGTAATCACTAATCTGCTATCCCTACAAGGGCCCCATTCAACCTATTCTTTATGTTTCAATAAAATTTAACATTCAGTTAGCGCTCACAAAGACAGCTAGTGTCTCCTTCCACAGTTTTCATATCATCTGAATAAGCTCAACATCAGCAGTGATTGAAAGAATAACTAGTAAAGACTGAATAAGAGTTATAGGTACCATACAAAAAAATTTGAATAGGTCCATGACACTAGGAAACTGAAGAACAGATTCAGTCATCAACAGACAGGCAAAAAAAGGAGAAAGAGGAAAGCCAGGAACAGAAATCAAAGTCTCCATAGCAGGAAGAAGTTGGGAGACTTATGCTAAACATAAAATTCAAAGAACAATTAGGTGGACAAAAAATACAGAGCAGGCATTATTTATGTTGTCTAGACTGATTTAAGAAAGAATGCCATTAAAGTATTTTAATGCACATAACTTCAGACTATGCAATATATATGCATAATGGTGCAATGCAAGAAGTTTGTCCATGCTATATGTAAGTTTTTCTATGGACTGTGATTTTGACTGTGATTTGCAAAACAAATTCACACAGCAATTTAGATGGGATAGGAACTACTGGGTCATCTGGTCCAGTGGACCCCCGTCTACCCCCCTCCCTGTTTCAAAGCAAACTAACTTTTAATCTCTACTATGAATCTTGCAGTCCCTCTACACGCCTATACTGCTTGGATTTTTTCTTCAGCTGAAATAAACCATTTAACAAAGAAACCTCTGAGATCAGGAGGTTTATGCAAGAGAAATATAGCCCAAACATCAGTGATGGTAAATTAAGTGCTGTGATTCTAGATGTTTAATCTTTAAAAAGATACGGGTTTCCTTGATAATGACATCTCTGGTGGCTTGGTGGAAGACCATCTGATAAAATACATAGATGATCTGGCAGACAACATCGTCTTC